TTCCCCACCCCACCCTATTCTATCTGCAACCTGGTCCATCTCACGTGACGATGCCATCCATCCAGATACGAAACCTAGGCACATTCTTGACTCCTTTTCCTCAAACTCTACATTGAATACATCACAAAGCTTGTAATCTGTCTTCACAATCTAACCAGAATTCAACCGCTTCTCACTATTGCCAACCTGCTCGGAACCACTGTTAACTCCCATTTGGATTACTACAATTGCTAAACTGCCCTTGCACTATGGAGTCTGAACAGGACTTTAAAAGTCTGACCAGTCTTTAAAATTCCTTCGATGCCTCCTATCACTTTGAAAAACTTGAAATTCTTTAATGGCCTAACAAGACTCTGGTCAGGTTACACCTGCCTCATTACTGTGCTCTAACCCCAGTGTATTTTCACCATAGGTTCCTTAGGAATGGTTGACTCTCCTGCCACCCTGCTCAAATGTTACCTTCTCAGTAACAATCATCACCACTCCCCTACAGTTCAGTCTTACAGTTTCTCTTTTATACTGCTCTATTCCCCCCATCCAACAGCACAGAACACTTTCTAATTAATAATAGCATGACAATTCCTTTTTTTTTGCACATAATTGTGGATATTCTTTGATACAACACTAAAACTGGGCAAATGATGGGTTCTGAAAAGTTTAGCTGCAATATGGAATCTTAACTATACCAATAACTTTTTGATACCGCTACATTAAAATCCACCAGTCTATTTTACAACAGACTGCATGTGTAAAACATCATGCATTGGTCATCTGAAAAACACAGATTTGCTGGGTCACACAGATTTTCCAAATGTTGATACATTTTAATTATACATTATCAAAAAATTAACAATTCCTGTCAACTCAAGATTTCACACATTCTAATTTTTGCTTGAAAATTCAAATTTTATCATATGGTAACATAAACTATCTGTGGTTTTTCCTGAAGCAACAAGCTTCTCTTCATTTTTTGAGAAAATGTGCCAAATATTCAAGTCTAAATAGTGCAATTTGTCTACCAATTGTTCTTTTAAGAGTGGTTCTCATGAATAAATAGCTTTAGACTGAAACAATTGCAAAACTACTTAGATATGCAGAAGTACTTTATGCATTTTTTTCATCTTCTCACATAATATTAAGTAAAGATAGGTATTCAAGGTCAAGATTTAACAAAATTAGTAATTTTTACTGCTTCAAGAATGTCCTGAAGTGAAACTGGCTTTAAAAAAAAACCTGCAAGTGTGAAGACTGCTAGTATAATCTGGTGACTGCCTTGATGGAGGCTGAGGCATCAGCAGTTTTACCTACCATTACTTTTGCACCATCAGTACAAATGTCAATACAGTGAAAAGGTAAATACTGTCCTAGTATTTCTATGAAAATAATTCTGTCAGATGACAGAAAAGGTCTCAGGAATGCCTCTCCCACACTGCTGTAATACATTAACCCAGATACAGCAGAATAGTTTCTTTGAGAATATTCTCTATCAGAATACCGCCTGAGTCTTGCCTGCTATTAGTCAGATGAAAGGATGCATTTTTAATAAGGAAAATAAAAAATGAAATGGAAATAAACATTTCAACAATGAAATGGAAATAAACATTACTTATATATTTAAGTATTCCACTTTCTTGACTTTACAGGCAAGTTAAATAATTTAACAGATAATGTAACAGAAGTTCTGCAGAATCAACAATCTGATAATCAAAGTGGGAGTTTCCTGCTGAACAAATGAATAGTTTAATATGTGAATGGATTAAATCCAGTATATCAAAATACAGTTTCTTAGATACTCTGAATTATTCTTCACTAGATTTATTAAGGTCTCTCACTGTCCACAGGAGCTATATTAAAAATAAAAAAGATTTACCTATTTCATGTTTGAAAGGCTTATTCCTCCCATTTGAGACAAAAATTGAAATCTCTCAAATAGCAAAGAAATCAACTGCCTTTGGTGGATATGTGCAGCTAATACACTAACTAGAAAATGTGTAATTCTATTAAAGAATTAAAAATATATTTCTTATTGCTTATATCTTCATTTTCAGACATACAGTGTTAATAGAAGTACAGCAAAAACTCATTCTTATTTACATGTCTTTGTAGGCTGTCATGAGTTGCCTCAGTAACTCCACTTAACCAATGACCTAACAAACTCTGAATATTAACTCTGGCAAAAGCATAATGGGACCAAAGGGTGTCTTAAACAAAGCACGAGTTATGCATGTGAGTATGTCACCCAACCCAAGGTCCAGTGCTGGTCTGTTTAAAATGTTCCTGTTTTAATAATACAGTTAACTAAGCAATCAGAAATCTCTCTGAGATGCTGATAAACAAATACTTTAATGTATACAATTATAACCATCAAGAAAACCCAAAAGCTCTGTATTCAGACAATTTTTGCTACTATTAAATGCCACTGTGAAAAGTTACTTGGTTCTTTCAATATACAGTCTTCATAATTTAATCCAAATGGTACCCATGTGTGAAGTATCTCCAACATAATAGCTAGTTAGATTTCTCTTTATTTTTTTAAAGATTTCTTTTATTTATTTATGCATACTAGAGCTGGGGTGTAGGCCAGAGGTGCGGGGGTGGAGAGAGGATTCACCAGAGACAAAGTGGGGAGAACAGGTAGACTGAAATACACTGCTGAAGGGAGCAGAGGGCCAGACAGGAGAGGTCTGCTTCACTATGTGGGTCACCTCCCTGGCCAGGGAGTGACTGCGGATAGCTTCATAGTGCTGCGACTTAACCCCCTGCACCACCAGGGAGGCCCAAGATTTCTTTTTATCTATCTGGTTATTATTAAAGTAAAATTTTCCCTAGCTCCTAATTTGCAGAATTCTATCAGGATAAACAAGTGAAATTTACGTTTCTATGAAAAACTTTCTAAGGAAATTTGAAATATAATCATAGTTATCTTCAATTAAGAACAATGTTAACAACACAACCTGACATGCATTTCTACAATGCTCTCTGCATTCATTTCCAGATAGAGTTTACGTAAGATAGTGCTGTAAGGATCTTTTTAGAGTATTCACTTCTCATTTTACAGGTATGAAAAACTGACCTTTCATAAGTCAACTTCTTACATTTCAGTATTTTTCCATATTTCCAAGATGCTGAACCAGATGACCATTACCATCTTTCCTAGTTCTAATGTTTCTTTGAGAGACAAGTCAAGTTTTATTGAAAAGATTTATGCAACTACATAAATGTAAAATCAACCTAATAAATGAAAATCAAAAGGAGATGCAAAGGAAGGGAATTTATAAGGTTGAGTACCTGTCTCATGCCAGGGTCCTACATACCAGTATCTCATTTAATACTCTCAACAACCTGGATTTTGGGGGGACTTGTGTGAATTCTAAATCTGTATGTGTTCAGATGATGCAAAAACTCCATTCATGTTCTTAAAGAAAAAGCTAACCATGGGCCTTAACATGTATTAATAACAAGTTAAGTGACTGATGATCCTAATCTGAACTGGGAAGTGTAGTGCAATCAAGTTAACATTTCAAATAAATGTCCTCTACTTTAAACAAAACTGGATAAATGAATCTTGACTACACAATAATAAAATTATTAGGAACCAGAGAGTGGATTTTAAAAATGAAGCAATTAAAAACAAAAGGTTTATCTATTTTTCAACCAAATTAAAACAGTAGCCAGAAGTAAGTGTCTGGTCTATTTCTGGAGTTACTATGTGCCCTAGTAACAGGAAGGAATCCAACTATTTGCCTAACAAGACATCTTTAGGAGAACATCTACAGAGCTAATAGGTTTTTAAAAATTATTTAATTCAAGACCTTTGATAAAGTTACCAGAAATATAAAGGGCAAGCTTTGACAAAACTGGGCCTCACAGATTAAAGAAAACTATTGTTTTATGTTCGAACAGTGGCTGACCCTAATTGGTGAACAATGTGTGTTTGGTGAATGAATATGCCAACCCAAGGCAAGGACGGCCATCACTGGCAACAGAGTCCATAAGTTCAACTCAGATCAAGGCACTGTAAATAGAAATGAATGTGTTACTTTAATAGTCTTAGAGTGATCGATTTTAAAACTAAACTATAGGGCTCAAAGGGAAGGTGACTCTATTTGGTCATACTGACAGAAGTAACTCACTGCAGCACCCCTCCTATTTTAAAAATTAGACACTGATCCTAAAGAGAAGAGCTCTATGTCTCTCCAAACAATTCGGACAGAACAAATTATTTCGTCTCCTTAAAAGGAGACTAAATTGTTTCAGGTTGGCAATCGGGGAAGGAAAACTTTAGGCTTAGTTTTAATCTTGTTCACACTGTCAAAGCATATGACCTCTCTCTACCCACCACTTTCTCCTTCAAACAGACGAAAAGCCGCGGGTGTGTAGGACGGCTGACAGAAGGTCGACAGGTTTTCAAGGAAAAAAAAAAAATCTGACCCCCCCAAGGCAGTGCCGCTGGGCGCCGCCGATCTCGACCCGGAGAAGCTCGAGAAGGAAATTTCCCAAATGCGAGAAACAACCTACAGCTAAAGCGGGGGCCAGAGCCCCCAAACCTCCCCCGGCGGCTGCACCGGGGGACAGCGGGGCCCGGAAATCAGCTGCCCGAGGTCCGAGGTGGAGCGTGAGCGACGTGAGGAGGCCCCGGAGCCCGCGCCGCGAGCAGGGAAGGAGGAGGCCCGGCGCCCATTTTGTCCGCGGCCTCCGCACTTCCCACCCCGTCCCCCGGCCGAGTCACCCCGGCGCGGCCTGCAGCTGGGCTCCCCGCCGCGTCCCGCACCCCCGGCAGCGGTTGGGCCGCGGAGCGCGCCCGTTTCCGCGTCCGCCCCACGCCCGGAGGCTCGACCCCGTTCCGCGGGCCCGAAGCCTCACGTCCCGCCCGGGCTCCAGGGCCAGCCCTGCCGCGGCCCCCGGCGCTCCCCGCCCCGGCCCCCGTTCCCCCCTCACCCCCTCGCCCGCGCCTCAGCCCAGTGCCCGCCCCCCCGCTGGTCCCCCAGCCTGGACCGTACCCCCCAGCAAACAGATGCACCAGCGTGTCCCTCTGGCTCATTCTCTCTCCCTCATGTCCTCCGGGCGCTGAGGCGGGAGGCGGATGCGGCCGCCCGAGACGGCCGGCGGCTTCGGGGCGGGCGGGAGCTGCACAGAGCCGCAGGGGCGGCGAGCGAGCAGGCGGAGACGCGGCCGCAGACAGCCTCCCGCGCGGCCCTCCTCGCGGCCCTCCCCGCCGCGCTGCAGCCGCGCCGCCTCCCGCTCAGGGTCGGCGCTCTATTCCCGAGCCCGTGAGCGGCGCGGCGGCGGCGGCGGCGGCGGCTGCCGGCTGCCGGGTGGGTGCGGGGACATGAATATTCCGATGACCCCCGACATAAACAGAAGCTCCCATTGGCGCGCGCTGCGTGACGTCAGCGGTCGGCATGCCTCTTTCACGTGATCGGTAAGGGGTTTCTCAATGAAAGGCCGCAAGGCGGGGTCAGAGCGCGTGCCCGGAGGGGAGTAGGTCGCTGCGCCCTCGCACCTGATCCGCGGGCCCTGGAGGCGGCACCCCGCGCGGCCCGGGCCTGCGTGGGTGCGGAGATCGGGACTCCGAGCCCCTCCTGATACCGGGACCGCGGGAGACGCGTTAGAGCTTTCGGGTTGTCTGGGCGGGGCAGGGCGCCCGCGTGCCCAGTCTCTGACCGACTTCAATAAATAAATAAATAAATAAAAGTCTTATTTTTAGAGCTTTTCTTATTTAAGTTTACCACAAAATTAAAAGGAAAATTCAGAGATTTCCCATCTTCTCCCTTGTTTGATTTACTTACACACACTCTGGCTTTATGACCCTGCAATTCTGCTTCCTGGTACCTAGTTGAGATTAACACTCCACAATGCCTGAGGCAGCTTGTGTGAGGTGACTGGTGCACAGCATCACAAACCACAATACAGTATTTGCAAACAATCTGGTAATAGTGGAAAATTGAGATCAGTAGAGGAATGGAGAAATAAATCATGGAGCATTCCTATTGTGGAATATAATAGCATTGTGACAAGGAGTAAGGTGGATTCATATGGAAAAAATCTCCAAGGCATATTAAATAAAACAGTCAGATAAAGCAATGAGGTTTTTTTTTTTTTAGAAGCAATAGAGAAAATTGCGATTTATTCTTTTTTCTAGCTGGTAAATATTTCATGTTTGTATACATTAGGGTAGTAGAGGTCAAATACTAAAGGAAGAAAACATTTTCTTTCTCCAGTACATGGTTTTCACATTTTTATTAGTAATTATTTCTAAGGTGCAGAAAATAGTATCACATATAGTCATGTCCTCATCATTCACACGGAATACATGTTATTATTTTCCACCCCTTTTTTTAGTAACTTCCTTTCCACCTGTAAGACCTTTATCCCCACCCAAGAGGGGTTAACCATGACCTTGCTTTCCTCCAGGGTCACTGGTTTCATGAAGTCTTCTGTATGGTCTTCACTGGCTCCTAAAAGCCTACAAAATGGGGCATTTGGAAGTGTTCCACTGTGATCCTGGAAGTGTTCATCTACTCCACAATTAATGCCCATCTGCCAAATAGTCATGAGAGCACCCGTCTCACAAGGCAGTAGTGAGGACTAAAATATGAGGTGTTAAAATATATAAAGTCCCTATAGCAGTGCTACATAAGTGCTACATGTAATTATTACTAGAATTATCTACTGCTCTGTGTTCTTAAGAAAAATAGCAGTTGATAATTCTTGAGCACTTACTCATGTGCAGCATTCTGAGCTAAGTAAGCACTTTGTAGCCTTCTCTCATTAAACTCACAATAACTCTATGAGGTAAAAGATATTAGCCCCCAATTTCATGTGAAGAGAGGGAGGGTGTAGAATGGTTGACTTGCCCAAGATGACCTACTTTATTAAAATGAAGCTTGGATGATTTCAGTTCTTTTGATAAAGTAATAGCTTTCTCTTAGAAAGGAAAATTTTTTTAACCAGAAAAGTAAACATAAAAATTGCCACCACTGACCATTCTTTCTCCAACTCATTGCATTAACATTTGGAGGTATTTCTTGTTTTATTAGTAGCATTATTGAAGTATTATTCATGTGCCATAAATTCAGCTATTTAAAGTGTACAATTTAGTGTTATTTAGTATGTTCTCATGAATTGACCTAATTCCAGAACATTTTCTTCACCCAACTCCTGGCAACCACAATCTGCTCTCTTTGGAGTTACTAATCTGAACATTTCTTATAAATAAATAATACAATATGTGGCTTTATGTGTCTGATTTTCAAGTTTCATTCACGTTGTAGCATGTGTCAGTGCTTCAGTCTATTTATGACTAAATATTCCATTGTATGTGTACACCATTTTGCTTACTCATTCTCTTAGATGGCCATTTAGATTGTTTCCACTTTTTGGCTGTTGGGAATAATGCTGCCATGAGCTTTTGTGCAAAAAGTTTAGCATGAATACACACTTTCAATTCTCTTGGGTGTATACCTGGAAGTGGAATTGCTGGGTCTTATGCTAATTCAATATTTAATCCTTTGAATATTTGCCAGACTGTTTTCCAAAGTGTAGCATTTTAGATTACTTCTTTCAAGGCAATAGCTGTAGCTCCCTGTTTTGTTTTGTTTTGTTTTGCATAGTGAATGCCATTGTAACCACATTATAGTGAGAGTTCTTATGTATAGTAAGTTATTCCCCATAATGAGCAATACCTGTCTTTTTAAACTCCTTTATGTGCCATTGAAGGAGTCCCTGGCCCCCGCACATTCCAACTGGTACATCATTGGTGCTGCCCACTTGGGTGTGGTAGCTGAGGTCATGCTTGCAGGGATTCTAGGATTGAATTGGCTGTTATGCATGCTGATGTTCCACAGCACTGTTATCTGCCTGCTCTTTTCAAACCTTTCTTCATCATTCTTGTTCATTACAGCATGTCTTCAAGTGATTCTTTCTAGAGTGGCACAAAGAGATCTCTTGAACCCTTGCACCTTACACAAACAAGCTTCCAAGTGCTTTTGCAGAAGGATGATAGGCAGGGTGGGTAGGGCTAAAATCAAGCTTTGGTGTGAAGCACCTTCAAGTCTTCCTGTTGAGGTGTCTTCTGGGAGTTGTAGTTTCACACTGAATATAGAAAGAGAAACTGATGGGGTTGTCTCACAACTCAGTGCTTACCTCAACACATGCAAATAAGCCCATTATTAAGTAGAGAGGAACCAGGGTTCTCTATTTTCTAATTGGTACAGATCTTGAATTTTAGTTGCTAATGAGCAGAGATCTTTATAGCTATTTATGCCAGGAGTAGAACATAACTGGGTCACTGATGCCTTTCCCTCCTACCCCATCCTTTGTCTCTATTGGTCATTTAGGTACAGACAATTCCTTTGTGTTTCAAGCCTTGAATTGGAAGCATTAGTTTTAAATGTTTGGGTAGGTTTTTAGTGAGAGATTAGGAAAGATGGTTTTATGCTCTATATTCTATAGCCAGATATCTTTTTATTTTTATTTTTTCTTTATTTTGCTTTTTTAAAAAAATTGAAGTAACATTGCATTATAATAATATGGGTGTGCATTGTATTTTGCTTTTAATAAAAAGCAATACATTCAAATAAGTGCATGAGAAATTAAAATCCACTCCTCAGTGTCTCCTCCTCAATTTCCACTCCTCAGAGGAAATCATTAAGAGTTCTGTGAGCTGTGAGCATCCCTCTCAGTATCTGTGCCATGATGGAATCATGTCAAATATAGTTTGCAAGAAGTTGAGCTGGAGTGGAAGTCTAGTCTGTTTCTGGGTCTGAGATAGAACCTGGAATCTCCCCTTTCCCTGGGGACCACCCAGCTATATATTGATTTTTTTTTTAAGATTGATTTATTTATTTATGCATACAAGAACTGGGGTACAGGCCAGAGGTGCGGGGTGGGGTGGGTGAGAGGATTCACCAGAGACAGAGTGGGGAACAAAACAGACGGATTGACTGAAAAACACTACTGAGGGGAGCAGCGAGCGAGACAGGAGAGGTCTGCCCTGCCATGTGGGTTAGCTCTCTGGCCGGGAATTGAATTTGTGCTGCAGTGGCTTCGGATAGCTTCATCGGTTGTGTCTTAACCCCTTGCACTGCCAGGGAGGCCCCTAGATATAGATTCTTAAAAACAGAGGAAATTCTGACACAGTTACAATGTGGATAAACCTTGAAGAATTATGTGAAGTGAAATAAGTCATCACAAAGGGGCAAATATTTTATGATTCCACTTATATGATATACCTAAATAGTCAAATTCATAGAGAAAGAAAGTAAAACAATGGTTACTAGGGGCTGAGGAAGAGGCTTTGGAAAGTTAGTGTTTTAATGAGTATGGGTTTTCAATTTAGCGTGGTGGAAAGTTCTGGAGTTGGGTGGTGGTGATGGTTGTTCAATAATGTGAATGTATTGAATACCATTGAAAACTTATTCAAAAGTGGTCAAAATGATAAATTTCATGTCATGTATATTTTATCACAATAAAAATGTATAATCAATGCACATGTTTGCAAAAAAGTAAAAGTATTTAGTATTATAAACATTACAAATAACATCAGAATCCCTACTCCATTTTTCCATTTCCCTAGTTTTGCTCCTAGAGATAACAACTATTCAACTTTTAAATTTTTCTTTAGTGCCTAATTTCTCAGAATAGCCGCTCATGTTGCTTGTCTTGATTTTGTTAGTTTCAAGCACCATTACTCTTCTGGTGATAATCAATGCAGATTTAGATCTTACCCCACTCCTCTACTCTCCATTTTCTCTGCTTCATCTTCCCTATACTTGTATCACAATTTTTTAGTTAAATTGACAATTGTTTATCTTATCAGGCTATGTAAATTTGGTTCATTTCAAAACCAAATGGTGCACATATTTTTTTGGAACAACTTGATATTTTTCTTGGTGCTAACAATTACTCTTCTGTTTTCCCTTGTTGCTTAACTTTCTATGAACCTATTCTTACTCCATCATATGTATCAATATCTATAAATATTTTTCTAAAGGTTTACGTATCAGTTTATCAAAGCTATCTTTTGCTTCCCCCTGGAGACTTTCCTCCAGATTCATCATCGTCCTGCGGCAACTTAAACTGGTGGCTTTCTCAATCACATACTTGGCCTCCTGGAATGTACATCCTCCAACCTGTTTCCTGGATCTCATTTTTTTTTTCTGGGTTTGCTACTTTATTTTGCACAAGTACATTTTTGCAG